GGATCTTCTTAAACTGTAATTGGCATAAATAAGTCCTCCTTGTACATTGTAAATCAACAGAGAATATAAAAAACTTTCAAAGAACAGATCTGGGCATACATCAATAACACATTGGTCGTGGCCCCAAAATTTTTAAAGGTTTTTAATATGTGTATAGGTTTCCAAATTTTTGAAACTTTTTTTATTTAAAGTCCTGTAAAAAATATTTCAAGTCCCAAAATCTCAGATTCGGCTGTGCTGATGACTTGCAATTAAATGTATATTTCACATCATGACAACTTTCATGCACACACAAGTATATATAGATCAAGAAAAATACAAAAACGATACTGGGTTTTTTTTTTCCAGCTTCTACCATCTCATGATAACTTTATGGGTTAATTTTGAAAAATTGTTGAAATATGGCCGAAGTGCCTGAAAAAACAAATTATTCGATAAAAAAAAGTTTGTAACGAAGATAGACTTGCCATCAACGTAGCAGCCAAATTCTCAATAAATTAGAGGCAGCCAAAGCATAAGGCCATGACTCATGAGAGTCGTTTAGAATCCTAAGGGATATATAAAAGGCGCCTTTCGACATGTACGTGGCCTATCAAAACAAAAGCAAAACCATACTTCAATTTGTTCAATAACGTGGCAACACAAATTGAATTTTTTTTAAAAAAACTAAGCCGTTTGAAATTTTGAATTATACCAAAGATCGCCTGAAAATGGAAATATAAACCTAATTTTTGTGATATAAAACCAAATAAGACAATAAATTTAGACCTTACCTAATTGACAAAAAAATCTCATGCGGTGTATATATGCGATTTATATCAAAACTATGTTACATAAATACTTCAGACTTATTAATCTAAGAGGTAGTTTGACAAATACCAATGAGTTTAAAATTTAAGAAACTACTACATTAGCAAATTGTAAACTGCAGGGTTATCAGAACCAAATGGAGTATAGGAGAATGAAGGTAGTTTGTGTGCCTCTTAAATATGATCATCCAACGTTGTTGAAGACAACGAAGTTGCTACTGGTAGATGAAGAAAAGTTATGCAATTCTGGACCACCTTGTCGATGGCTTGAACCAAGTGGTCATACAGGCGGCACCTTTAATGATGGTGGCGACTGTTTGGTTCTTCCCACATGTGATAAATTGATGTTTGGAATAACATTACGTAAGAGTCATAAAAATGATATTTGACGTGATATACAAGGATAAGAGAATAATAAAATTAGACCAAAAAGAATTTATTTTTACAATTATGTCAAAACTTTATCAATATTTTGTTAACACCTTTATCATTTTATTATTCTCTTAAATAATTTATTTTGGTAGTTTGTGTAATCTAATTAACTTAGAGACGCTGGTTT